GTCTCTAGTTCCAGCTCCTGCCAACCTAGCAGTTCGAAAGCAAGAAATTGCAAGTAGATAAATAGGGACCACTTCGGTGGGAAGGTAACAGCGTTCCGTGCGCCTTGGTGTTTAGTCATGCCGGCCACATGACCACGGAAATGTCTTCGGACAGCGCTGGCTCTTCGGCTTTGAAACGGAGATGAGCACCGCAACCCTAGAGTCGGATTCGACTGGCTTTCGAGCAAGGGAACCTTTACCTATAGATAGGGGCTCTTGGGCAAGTGATGCTCTATCTTCTTGTTGCTTGGGGGGGGGTCAACAGTGGGAGGGCTTCTAATGTCCTGGCCCCACTGGTGAACCTCCTGATGGCACCTGGTATTTCTGGCCACTGTGTGACACAGAGTGTTGGACTGGATGGGCCTTTGGCCTGATCCAACATTGGCATCTCTTATGTTCTTATGTTAACCATAGTGTAAGATACCCCAAACAAAAATGCCAAGGCACACACGTAATGAAAAAAATAGAAACATTCAGTGTGTACTGTATTATAAAGCCACAAATTCAGCAAATCTGCTTTGCATGTAAAATTTTTAGGGGGTAAGTAATGGTAAAGGTTCCCTTGCTCGAAAGCCAGTCGAATCCGACTCTGGGGATGCGGTGCTCATCTCCGTTTCAAAGCCGAAGAGCCAGCACTGTCCGAAGATGTTTCCGTGGTCTTGTGGCCGGCATGACTAAACACCAAGGTGCATGGAACACTGTTACCTTCCCACCGAAGTGGTACCTATTTATCTACTTGCAATTTCTTGCTTTCGAACTGCTAGGTTGGCAGGAGCTGGAACTAGAGATGGGAGCTCACTCCGTCATGCGGCACGCTCGGGTCTCGAACTGCTAAACTACCGACCTTCCACAGCCTGCAGTTCAGCGTCTTAACCACTTGAGCCGCCGCAGCTCCTTTTTAAGGGATTTTTTTGGTATTTTTTTGTGTGTGTGTGTCTGCACCTGGAAGTCACGTTGACCTCTGGTGACTGACCCCTACTGGGGGCCTGGAAGATATTCAGAGAGGTGGCTGAATAAATCCTGCCTCTGTTCTCCCGACTTGGTATTTCAAGGAAGTCGCCCATCCAAGTACTAACCACAGTCGACCCTGCTTAGCTTCCGAGATCTGATGAGATCCAGCTTGCCTGGGCTATCCAGGTCAGGGCACATGTAAGATTTTTTTGTACTCTGAATTTTTCTTCTGCGTGAAAGATATTCTGGATTTCTGTTATGTAGTTTGTGGCTTTATGATACAATACACTGCGAATTGTCATCATCTTTTCAGTAACAATGTCTGCTTCCTTGCCTGGGCTATCCAGGTCAGGGCACATGTAAGATTTTTTTGTACTCTGAATTTTTCTTCTGCGTGAAAGATATTCTGGATTTCTGTTATGTAGTTTGTGGCTTTATGATACAATACACTGCGAATTGTCATCATCTTTTCAGTAACAATGTCTGCTTCAGCATTTTCGTTTTGAGTAAGGGATAAAATAGCACATCCCCAGGTTCAGAGTAGAGCAGCGGGTGGGGTGGCCTAAACCTTTCCCCTTGCTTCTAGCCACAGTCCTGATACAAATTGGACGGGTATGCTGTTTAAAGGGGGGGGGGGACCATGCTGGGAGCTCTGTTCATGGGAATGTTCCATTTCACGTGTATTTTTGCCCAGCCTCTCCCAATTCATGACATTCTGGGGGGGACATTACTGAAGTATAAACTTGGACATGTTGGTTGCCAACCCTGAAAGCTGAACAACTGTTGCTTTCAGGAACACTGGGTTAAGTGTTAAGAAAAGAAACCTCCTGAATCAAATATATCTGTATCTGATACAAGCAGTTCAAACCGCACGACACATCAGAGCCCAGTTTCCAAGATATTACTAAATTGAGCCTCCTGTTCTGAATCTGCTTTGGAAGGCGGACTCTATGCCATTATACCCCACTGAAGTCCTTCCCCCTCCCCTCCCCAAACCCTGCCCTCCCCTCAGGCTCTATCCTCCCCAAGCGGGGTGGCCGGAAGCAGGGGGCAGGGCTTCGTCATGTGCCCCACCCCCCTGTACCTCACCCGGGGGAACTGTGATCCCCTGCGATCCCCCCGAAATGACCTCTGGGTCCACTGGTGATATCTCCTTGAATAGGCTGCCTCTCTTTGTTCTGACCTGGGAACTGCCTTCTGACCCCTCCTCTCTATCTTTGTCCTCAAACATCATGCACATGGCCTCCCATGGTGGAGACACATGTCTCTGCAGGCCTCTCCTGTAGAGACAATGCCCTCATACTCCCACACACATGATGCCGGAAAAGATAGCCATTTGTGATGGGGAAAGTACTCTTTAGATTAAGTTTTCTCTTCTTTCAGTTGCAACCTGAATGTGAACTGGATCTACTTGAATAAATGTTAAGTTTACCCCCCCCTTTTTTTTTGCAATATACTTCTCGGGAGATTTATTTACTGCACTCAGCATCACGCTTCTACGACTGGGCAAAACTCTGCTGCATTAATCAAATATCCCAATACCTACATGGGCTTTTCTACAGATGGTTTTTGCTGTCACTTGGCTTCTTAACTGCATCAGTTTTCTGAGTATATGGGAGGGGAAAAACACAATTTATTTAAGAAGCCAAGCTACAGTAAAGCCCCAGTAATACAGAGTACTGTGTCAGCAATTTCGGGGGGTGGGGGGGAGTTAATTAAAATCATTCAAGTAGATCCAAGCCAAATCAACGTTCAGAAGGCCTCTGACACTGCAATCCAGAGGTGGAGTGGGGGGGAGGCACAAAAGCACTCAGGGAGCTGGCCAGCTGCTGTGCCCGTGTATGTCAGCGATATGCTGGCTGAGTGCCCTGCTGAAGATGTGCTGTGGCCATCATAGAAAAATCTGCAAAACTGCATCAGTTCTGGCACACTTTCTGCTAGCTTTTTATGGGGCTTCCCTGGCCCACATGTCAGATTTTCTGGTGGCAATGGTACCTGGCAGATGATTCCCAGATATGGCATTGCTCCGGTTTAACAAGTTCTGGGCTTCTTCATCTACAACATCCAAAAGGTACTGAATGACATCGTTGTGATCTTCCTCATCATAAGAATCATCATCATCTTGGACTTCTGCTATAAAATAATTACAAAGTCCCATTACTGCTTTGAAGAAACGGAAAACAAAAATTACAGCTCACAAAACAGCAAGATTCCAAAGACCCCTTTCGCTAATGGTATTTATTTGGGATTTTCTCCTCTTTTATTTCTTTCTTACTGCTAGGCAATCCTTTAAAAAAAAACACAGGTCTGTTTCTCCCTTTCCTAGAAAAAGAAGGACATTATGACAATGTGAAATGCATGCTACATGGGATACCAAATCTAATTTGACATCAGCTGGACTTTTGACTGTGTTTGCTTAACAGCTTCGCAGGCCATTTTCAAGTGGAGGCTGGACGACCATCTTTCAGGTATGTTGTAGAGCTATCTTTCAACTATGCTCCTGCAGAGTGCAGGGGGTTGGACTAGATGACCTGCAAGGTCCCTTCCAACCCTAACATTCTATGATTCTATGGTTCTAACATGTATCAAGGTAACCGTCATCTTTCCTCCATGGTTCCTCCCATTTTCTCCGTCATCTCACATAATTCAGAAAGGAATAGATTGTAAACTCCTGAAAGAATGGACCTATGCTATTTGTGTATGGAAGGAAAAAGCTCCCCAAGATGGCGCTGAGGCAGCTGCTCTGACTTTTAATGCTATGCAAGTTATCTGCTAAAATTATTTGTGCATGAGAGAGACAAAGGGAGGAGACCCCACGGGGATCTGTGAAACACCAAAGGTGGGAGTAGCAGGTTGGCCAGAGGTGGGAGCTGGCGATGTCTTATTGGTGCCTTGCCCTGGGGAAGTATAGGATTCCTGGCATTTCTGCCCACCTCTTTCCCCCAGTGAGAAGCCAACAACTATAGACAGCTTGTGAGCAAAGACCCACTTGCAAGTGTGGCCTGACGTTTTTTGTTAAATAAAATGTATTAAATATAATGCAGAAATACATGTACTGTCACGAAAAAAACAAGTGAAGGAAAGAAGTAATAACACATATACGGTGATAGGAAGGTAAGTAACATATTCATACTATTAAGGCAGATCATAACCCCCTCAAGAGGGAGTTAACAACCAAACGCTCAGAGATGAATCCAGTCCTGATAGTGTACATTAGATGGAATAATCTCATTCTCAGCTAGAGAGCCAGTTTGGTGTAGTGGTTAAAAGCGCGGACTTTAATCTGGGAGAACCGGGTTTGACTCCCCACTCCTCCACATGCAGCTGCTGAATGACTTTGGGCAAGCCATAGTTCTGTCAGAGCTGCTCTCTCAAGAGCAATTCTCTAAAGAGCTCTCTCAGCCCCACCTACCTCACATGGTGTCTGTTGTGGGGAGGGGAAGGGAAAGGGGTATAAATCCAATCTCCTCCTCCTCCTCCTCCTCCTCTTCTTCTTCTAGATATTGCAGTATCTGTAGCCGGGTAACTACAAAGGTGCTGTTCGTATGATCACAGGAGTGGGGGTTTAGACCATCAGCGATCTTTCCCATCACAAATTGTGTCCATAGTTTAATCGAACCATAGTTCTATAGTTGGTGCTTCCTTGGCTTTCCATTTGGAAGCAATGGCTAGCCTTGACGCTGCCAGTCGGGCAGAAACCCTTTCTTGATGTACAATCAGGCCAGAATCCCTGGATGACTGGGCAATCCCACCAGCAAAGTCGGAATGTGTCAATTTGGCCACATCTCTTCCAACACAATGGGCTGATACCCTTGTTTATCTTGTGTGGCCTGACTTATCAGTAACACGGAGGTGTTGGGGTGAAGCAGAAAATATATATGGCATGATGGGTTAACAGGCAGAAAGAGCAAGAGGTTAGAGAGGAAAATAAAGGTGTATGATCTCCTTGAGCTACACACTGGGATGGGCCAGAAAGAAGTCCCCACCGAGAGAGGGGGCTGTGACACAGACTCCCCACTGCACATTATGTACCTGCATAAAGAATCATGTACATTTCTGGTGCCTACAGCTTAAAACAACACATGACAACAATAACAATGGCAACACCCTCATTCAGTTTAACTGTTTGGTTGGTGTTATCCCAGGGTACTTGGTAAAAGCTTTCATAAGAGAAGTACATGAACTGCTGTCCTTACCAGAGTTGTTATTGTAGCTGGAAAAATCCGGGGCCAGACCAATAGCATCACTCGGGGATGTCTCTTTAGATACGGTGACATTCCCTGGCCCTTTTTTCTGGTGACTATTGTTCAGGTCACCATTAACCTAAGGAAACCAAGAAGTCTGAATTATCTTTCTGTTTAAGACGTTACTCTGCTTAAGCATCACATCTTCAGACTTTAACAGCAGGCACAAAATCTCTCATATTAAAGAGGCATGCAAAATACTGTCGGCAGATTTGCTCAGGAGTGATAACCTCCCTTGGACACACAACTACGGATGGGCACAAATCAGGAAAATGTGGAACCACAAATCGAATCAAACCAGGAGGTTTGTTCATGCCTTCCCGCCTTGCAACTGTTTTCCTGGCTGTCTTCTGCAGCCCCTTTAAAGTTTAAAGGGACTGAACTAGACCGCCCAAAATAGCTGAGTGGTGGAGAGCGCTTCCCCACCACTCTGCCGTTTTTCGGGCTGTCTTCTGCAGTCCTTTTAAAGTTTAAAGGGGCCGCACAAGACAGCCTGAAACAACTGAGTGGCAGGGAATGCCTCCACGCCACTCAGCTGATCTTGTGGCTTTCCCGGGGAACAGAAAGCATGGGTTTAAAGTGACTGGGAGTTCCTTTAAACCCTTGCTTTCTGCTCCATCCACAAACTGCCACAAACTGCTTAAGAAGTTCATGGAATTCCATGAGAGTAGACCAGTCATGAACTTCTGTTCACAAACCACGAACTGGCAAAATTCGTGACTACTTTTGTTTCATGGTTCAGTTCGTGCCTATTCTTACACGCAATGCATCTCATTCACAATGTGCTGCACACAACTTTCATCCACCAAGTTGTGGATGGAGGATCATGAGTGCATGATAACAGCACATGTGATCAAACTCGTCCTGGGTCAAATTATTCTTAAAAACACACACAACCAAACCCCAGGCACCTTTTAATGTGGTGCAATGCCTCCCATTGTGGATGCAAGTGCAAACATATCCCGATTTGTCCTGGGCACTTACCTTGGGCGCATGCGCATCATGCCCTGCTTCTGCTCTGCCATAAGGCTCACCTATGAGATGACCTTCAAGAAAGAGGGGAGGAAAGGAACAGGTTGTTGCTTGCCAGTGAATCAATATATATCCAGTAACGCCTATCAATTTTGTATCTTCCAAGATAAAAAAATGGCTGTAATGCACACTACAGCTTGGTAGGGCTGAAAAAGCCCATGTGGGAGAGAAGGTTGTGGCACGCAAAACTCACAACTCAACATTTTTGTTGTTCAGTCGCACAGTCGAGTCCGACTCTTTGTGACCCCATGGACCAGCTCCCGCCAGGCCCTCCTGTCTTCCGCCGTCCTCTGAAGTTGGCTCAATTTCATGTTCGTTGCATCGATGACACTGTCTAACCATCTCATCCTTTGCCGTCCTAACTCAACATGCATTAACTTAAAAGGTGCCCAACTGGCTTATTAAACATTCCTCCTGTAGACTAATCCCTACTGAACTCAGCAGGACTTAGTTTTGAGAAAACACAAGTAGCATTTGGAAGTTTTTATTTCCTTGCACATTAACAGATTCCTCTCCAGTGGTAGTAAAATTACATTTCTTACCATTAGGTTTGATTGACTTCGGACTTGAGTTCATTGTGCTTTTATTCTTTGGAAACACTGGATGAGCATCTCTGCAACAAGAAGAAGATCTACATTCAACACCTTCAAAACAGGATGCAAATGCAAGCATTTGTTACCTTGTCTGTGGTTTGCAGTTTTGCGAAACCAGAGCACTAGTTATACTATTTATCCACACCCCAGGAAATTACCTCGTTGCCTTCAGTACCACCACTGGAAGTGACATCTCCAGTGTCCTGCTGGCTTCTTTCAAAGACATTCCCTGAGTGCTGATCCCATTAATGTAATGGATGATGTCTAACGTGTGGAGAGTTCCTTCCATGGCCGCAGCAGACTTTGGACTGATATCACTAATATAGACCACTTGATAAAGGCTATCATGACCGCCTGCGAGAGAGATACCTGGTGGAAAGGAAAGCAAAACAAAGAGCCGCATACATTTCCATCATTCCGTTCTTTTGCGTACCACATACTGATTCTGCAACAACTGCAGGGTTGAAAATGGGGTTGGCATCAAGAATATTCCATTATTTCCTGGTTCCGTTCATTCCGTTCAGAGGTAACTATCACAGAAGCCAAACATGTAACAGACTGTTCATCTGCACCAGAAGAACTCTGATGTGTACAACTGTGGGGAATGGTGTGCATGCAATTTCTTGCTGCTTTCACACAGCTGCCAGCCTGCAAGCGGGGGGGGGGGGACTTGACAGTTTGTGTTGAGACTTACTCCTTTAGTGTCTGTGTGTGCCTTATTATGACAACATTATTCATTACCCATTAACGGCTACAGAGGCATCCAGACCCACATTAATTTGTGCATGCTTGCAAGTGCATTCCCTCATGGGAGCTGTAGTTTATTTCCTCCCCGCCCCCGCACATGTGGGAGGAAAAACTTGTTTTCAAAACTTTGAGCCTACTAAAAGCTTTACGCCTACTAAAAGGGATGTCTCTTGAAGCTTGTTACAACTCAACTGTTCCTGGCACACAGAGGCTAAAAGGAAGCTGAACAGTCCCAATTGGGGATGAATTTGTTCAAAGAGGGGGCAGGCTGGGAGAGAGCTGCACTTGAAAAGCGGTGGTGGAAAGTGCTGTCAAGTCGCAGCCAACTTATGGCAACCCCACACAGATTTCAAGGCAAGAGATGTTCAGAGGCGGTTTGCCATTGCCTCGCTGCTGCATAGCAACCCTGAGCTTCCAGGGCCAACCCTGCTTAGTTTTCTGAGATTTTAAGAGATTGGGCTAGCCTCGGCCAACCAGGTCAGGACTCTTGAAAAGCAGGTCACGTTAATGACTTGACTATGGCCCTGGAAGACAGTCATTTGCAGAAAAGGAACGAGAGGACACGTTTACTGACTGTGTAGGTGCAGAGGTGGCTGCAAAACACAACACAGCAGCAAAGGAAAGCCATCTACAAAGGTATGAAAATCCATGAGCCCATAGCACCAGTGGTTTCTGCTCAGGTGCAAAAGTGCTCACCACTTGAGTCGAACAGCAACATCAAAGCAATCCGCACGGGGGCTTGACTCGCTCGCAAGCAAGGAGTTCGATCAAAGTCTAAGGCTGTGGTCACGCACACTAGATAATCCATTTTTAGTCCACTTTTGGACTGGATTTTACTGTGGGAAGTGCATTGAAAGTGGATTATTTAGTGCGTGTGTGACCACCGCCTAACCTTAGCAGGTGAATGCATCCAAGTTCCAAGCACCCCTGGTTTCCATGCAAGAGCAGAGGGTAATGGAATTTTGGATTACCCAGTTCTTCTTTATGGCACGTCAGGCTAATGTCAGGCAGCATGTGCGGCAACACGGGTATCTTGGGTAACTCCAGAACACGTCCAAGCACCAGCCTGACTGTCTTTGGGGCTGATCGAAGAAAACTGACAGCATCTGTGTGGGTCATGTTTGTGACATCTGTGTCATTAACCTGTAAAAGTGAAAGAGTCCGCAAGAAAGAGATCTTAGCTGTGGCACCGATTCAGACAAGCAAACAAACATTTCCAGATAGAACAACAGTTATTGATTAGCAAACTACCTAATATTGGGACCTAAGGGAGGGGAGCAGTGGTCAGAGACTGTGCGGCTCTCTGGAGCCCATAATCCTTTGCTTCCGAGAATCACATGACCGCCAAGAGCCAACCTACTGGCACTGCTGGGGTCCGCAAGAAAGAGATCTTAGCTGTGGCACCGATTCAGACAAGCAAACAAACATTTCCAGATAGAACAACAGTTATTGATTAGCAAACTACCTAATATTGGGACCTAAGGGAGGGGAGCAGTGGTCAGAGACTGTGCGGCTCTCTGGAGCCCATAATCCTTTGCTTCCGAGAATCACATGACCGCCAAGAGCCAACCTGCTGGCACTGCTGGGTACAAAGCTCACAGATCTGCTGTAGACCCTCCATTTGGCCACTCATGATCAAGATGAGAGAATTCACCGGGCTAACATCTCTGCACTGGCTGCTTGTCTGACTTGACTACCTTTCATTTCACTGACTGCTTCAGGTACTGGCCAGCCCTTGGCAACAGTGGATGAGGGCCCAGACTGCAGGGGCCCCAGATAAACAAACACACACACGCACACGCACAGAGGCTCTTCCCTTGTAATGTCAAAAACCAGACACATGCTTTATATGTGAATGGGGCAGATGTGTGATCACTTTGGCCCCAATGTTTCCATATCTGAATCCTGCCGCACCTTGATGAGGCGATCTCCGGGTCGTAACCGCCCGTCACTTTTGGCAGGGTCCTGAAGAACATCGTGGATGTAGCAGCCAACACTGTCGTGGCCTTTGGTCACTGTGAAACCAAGGCTACCCTTTTCCGATTTTGTCAGGGTCACATTGAGCTCCACCTCCTGGAAAAAGAAGTAAGCATTTCAGTGTAAAATAGTTCAGGAACTGGCAAAGCCTGGTCCAAGCCAACATTACACAAAGAAGGAAATTTTAGAGTACCTTCTTGCCCCAATTGTTTTCATATGATTTGCATGTGGATGTAATACAAATAGGTCATTTACTTACCCACTTGATTTTCGGCCTGCCTTTCTCCCCAGTGGGAACCCAAAACAGCCTACATCGTTCTCCTCTCCTCCATTTTATTCTCACAACAGCCCTGTGAAGTACGTGAGGCTGAGAGCGTGTGACTGGCCCAAGGTCACCCAGCAAGCATCCATGGCAGAGTGCAGATTCGAACCTGAGTCTGCTAGATCCTAGTCGACACTTCAACCATTATACTTATGCGGTCTATGGCTGTCCGCTTCCAGATTTTTGAGTGAGTGATGAAACGGGTGCTAATATTTGGCTGCTTCAATGAATCCCCCCATGGTGTCCCATTAGCAGTGTGCCTTCAGATTTACTTATCAGTATTTCTCGAGTATATTTCGGCATCCCAAATATATCCAGGTTTTCTCAAGAAAACAAACAAATTCCCCCCCCCCCCAATCTTGGATATATTTGGGGATTACCAGGCGGACCCGAAAAAAG